TAGCCATCGACAGAGTGGAGAAATTCATGCTGAAAGAGTCCGAAACAATTGAGACTTCATTGTGCCTCAAAATTACAGTGGGTTGGACTATCCTATCTATGACATAATATAGGCAGGTGAAGTTTTTATTTTCTGATACGAAAATGGATGATAATACGTAAAAACGTGGAGAATCAGAAACGTGTCAAAAGAACTTTTTTGGGCCCTAGCAAAAAATAGACCATTGCTTTCGTTCTAAATCCACTGCGTTTAGACCAATCTACCTAAAGTTAGCGCTTGCGATCAGGATTTGTCGAGCTCTACTTGTTGTCAGCATATCAGGCAAAATAATAAAAGTTAATGTACATTTTACCCAGGTACCAGCTGGATAAGTACAATATGTTGTTCTTATGAATTGATTTGAGAAAATTCTCTCGATTCAATAAAACAAATAAATAATCGTTTGAATTTCTTTTATTATTATTTTTTTCTGTTGATAGTGAATATTATCATGCTAATATATCTTTAAGATCCTAAGACTTTCAAATGATTTTATTATAATACTTTTATTATTCATCAATTCGTGATCTTTATAATGTGTAACTTGAAAAAAAAACTGAGAAATTCACTTAACAAAAGGATACAAATGAAAATATTTCATTTCAAGAGATAATATTGATTATCATCAATATCACTAGACATGCTATCGATATTTTAGAACGTATCTCGAAAAGCATCCATTATTAGAAAGGGGCTAATCTCACATGTGTAGATAATTTCACAACAAAATTGTAAGGTTAAGTGAAAAAAAAACAAAGAATTTTTACTTTTATTTAATTGTTTTTATTTTTTACTAATATTATATAGCAAACGAATCTGTTATTATGTCCTATCAGATTGATAATATAATATACTTGTCTGAATACCATCTTGAATAGGTGAAACAATAACATATATTAGAGTTTTTTCTCCGACTTAGTATCATATATAAAGAACATACAGATACAAATTATTTTTTGACTACCTCCCAAAGGTCCGAAAATTCCCTATTCCAACGTGTGCTTAGAGGGCACATAAAAAAAATGCTCGAAAACTTCTTAGCTATGTCTAGTCCACTATGAACGTGTGTCATGAACATATTTATTCGGATTAATTATATATAGGGCTATTTGGTAATGATGCCCAAATACTACTTCGTTGTACTGCAACATTTGAATATCAGTGAAATACAATGAAGTATTTGAACTAGAACTTATCGAATCTGAGTCCGAAAATTTTGTACCCACGAGCTTTAATTTGAACTTTTATAAAATGAACTCAAACTAATATGCTCGTGACAAACGCTGATAATAGACTTGAAACTGCTAAAAATTTCTAGAAAATATCTGTAACATACGCTTGGAGCATAGGCGGCGGAGCAAAGTAAATTTAGGGGAGGCTCAAAAAATAAATAAAAAATTGGAATACGAGCGTTGAAAGGTACTAAGTAATTTATGGAAGTCTTTACATTTTCCTCGAGAATCCACAGAAGTATTAACTACATTACTTTTCATAATTTTGCTAACAAACATTTCTTTACATACAGTGTTAGGGAAAAAAACTTGTAATTACTCTGAGTTCTTGGGATAAAGTTTCAATAAATAGTACCATTTTTTGAAGCATGAAAAATGGAGATGTTCAAAAGAAGTTTATCTGATTCATGAAAAAGACTACGCACTTCC